CCAAGGAAGTTATGGTTCAGTTGCTAAACCTAGGAGTCATGTCTGTGGTTTGTGGTTTTTGTGGTTTTTGAGGATAAAAGGGATTGCATCTGAGAGGGTCGGTGCCACACGGCTAAGCTGTCTTACCTGACCGCTTGCTCATGATGGTGGGCATTGCAATGTGAATCTAAGTGAGTACCTTGTATACTATTGGTTGGATTTTACTTGCTTGTTGAACTAAAATTTAATAAAGCTTTTAGAACTTTGAAGTGCCTTGTTTTATGGTGTGTAGGTCTCCCGTGTTTAATGTGGTTTTTTCCCTGACAATCTGTATATCATTACACATGCGTGTTAGTTATGCAGCCCATAATAAGCATTTATTTAATTAAATTTTGCCTTTAGGTAATATTAGTTCTCAATAAGCATGCTCAGGGAATCACCTCCTCTACTAATGGGGGGGAAAGGGACCTATACTGCTCTGGCCTTTTCTAGGGGAAGAAAGGGACTAGGTTCTGCACACAACTCTTCCTTCCACCCCCCTCCCATTCACAATTGGTGTTACAATTGGGTGTTGAGCCTTTTAATTATCACAACCATCCCATCTGCCTCCACAGTATGTCCCTCTCCTCAGCCACTACAGGTGAGTTGCGGTAACAAAACCTATAGGTTTGTGGACTGATATTGTCAAGTTGGGCACCAATCCTTAACCCGCCTGCTATCAATGGGCACTTCCTTATCAGCACCTTGAATTCACAATGATGGTCACGTTTGGGTCAGGTTGTGGTCCCACAAAGAGGTAGGGTTTGGGGATTCCTTGGATCTCCCTTTGCCACTTGTCAGTTATTGATTCCTCCAGGAATAGATGCACTCTAGTGTTGTGTTTGAGTCCTCCTCCCATTTACTTGAACAGAGTCTTTAGTCCATCCAAGGCTTAGCAGTCCGCTCTGGTGGGGTGGTGGTGGTGGTGGTGGTGGTGGTAAGGTCTTGACTCGAGCATGACGGACTCAGGATTCCATTCCAAACATCTTAAAGGAGGTGTAGGTGGTTAGCAGCACCTGGACCAGTCCTTTCCACCTTGGTTCCAGAGAATCATCACTCCAGGATTTTAGCAGAACCCAGTCTCTGGCCTTATAAGGATGAACAGGCTGGTCCAATCCTATAGGTTGTCACTGTTGTACGTATCTGGAAAGAGAGACCAGAGCAGCAGACAACTGTAACAGATACTGTTTCACTATTGTATCTTCAAGCTGATGGATGCTTTCCGCTAGGGGAAGGGTCACAACTGGGTATGGTTTACCATATAGAAACTCAAAGCGGCTAACTCCTAGTCGTTTGTTTGGAGTCACCCGAAGTCTGAGAAGGGCAATGAGTAGAGCCTGGCACCATGTAAATTGAGCTTCTTGGTCAGTCTTGGCTAGGTGATGCTTCAGGAGGCCATTTGTCTTCTCTACCTGATCACTACTCTCCAGATGATGAGCAAAGTATAATTTCCACTTGATCCCATATGTAGGAATAGATGCACCTTGGTGTTGGGTTTGAACTTGGTGTGTTTGAACAAAGTTTTAAGTCCAGGGGCTTAGCAGTCCACTCTGGTGGTAAAGGGAAAGGTTCTTCTGGTGGTGGTAGTGAGGTCTTGACTCAGGTATGATGGATCCAGGACTTCGCTCCAGACAGCTTATATCTTAATTACTTTTTTGGATTAATTGTTGATGTGTTGTATTTTGGAGAGATTAAGACCATTTGGACCAGCAAGGTTTTACTGTATTCATTGGGTGAGTCTCCACCTCCTTAAAAGACAATGGTGTAAATTTGATCTTAAACATTTTGAAAATATATCATTTTTTTTTTTGGACTATGCAGCAAAGGAGTTCTTAATACAGTGGTACCTTGGGTTACGAACTTAATTCGTTCCGTGACTCTGGTCGCAGC